CTGTCAAGGTGAGGTGCTTGGCTTATATTCAGTGGAAAAATGACATGATCAGATTTAAGAAGCTGCTCTTAATGGCAAGTTATGATTGCTTTGTGTCCCAGAGAATCCAGTGTTTTCTTCATATGGATAAGTGATGCCTTAACTGGGTAGAGCCTTTCAAGTCACAGGGGACCCTTCTGTACAGTACATCAAACGGCTTCCCCAGGTGCAACTTCTTGGGATCTGGTCTGAGACGACGCGGTACACCGTCCAAGGGAGTAACTGTCAGAAGGAAAGGAAGAAGCCCTGCCCTGCGGCTGCATGATCCCTGACCCCGGAAGCACTCCACATTCGCCGAGGAGTCACTGGGCACGCACAGGCCAGGCACAGTGCTGAGAAGCGGGGAGGCCAGTGGCTGAGAAGACACAGCGTCTTCCCAGGGAGAACCTTCTTCACACCAGCACTGCCCGGGCAAGGGGTGGCCCTCCCCCTGCCCTTTCCCACAGCCTGATCTACCCAGACACGTCCCAAGTAGCAGGGCAGGGCAGGAGAAGGGAAAGAGGGAGGGGAGCTTGGAGTCTCCTTTCCTCCCACCCTTACCTCCTACGTGTGGCTTGGACACCAGGAACATTTACCCCAGGACAGTCCAGTGCCTCAAAAAGATAACTGCTCATGAGACACTCAAGGACAAGGCTTGTTACATCCTATAACCTTCACACAAGAGTACACGGCTGCCAGCTGGCTTAGCATTGTACTCTTTTATGACCGCGGGTAGTGCTACACATCGGTAAGGTCCTATACTTCTGGCGTTATACTTGAGCTTTTGGTCTTTGAAACTGGAATTCAGTCAACCAGGTAAATGAGCTACTTCCTGTCTGGTCTTAGAAGAAATGGAGAATTTTGAGGTCCCACAAAATATTGTAGGGTTTTTTTTAATGTTTATTTATTTTTGAGAGACCACAAGTGGGAGAGGGGCAGAGAGAGAGGAACAGAAGCTGAAGCGGACTCGGCACTACAAACAGTGAGCCTGACATGGGGTTTGAACACACGAACTGCAAAACCATGACCCGAGCCAAAGTTGGGCACTCAACCAACTGTGCCACTCACGTGCTCAAAATATCGTTTTATATAAGCAACAGAGCCAATGATCTTGTTAAAATTATGGAAAGGGGGGTTATTTTCTGATGTTTTGTTCCTAGCCAAGTCTCATCCCATTAGTAAGCCAAGCTTTTGGTTTGGATAACCAAGAAAATATTCCTCCTTGGTGAACAATTGTCAACTTCCAGTCCACTACATTCTTCTTAGTTTTATCTATTCATAAAATTAACTAAATGTCACTAAGGTAAGAGGTCAGAACACACATTTACAGAGTTTGCCTAAGTTTTTTGTCACCAGCTGAACCTTATTTAAAAAAAACTGTATAGCTTTGCTTAATTTCAAACAAATCCACTATTTCTCCAAACTTGATGAGAATCACAAATATAAACCATCTTGTTTCCAGAATGAGTGTGCTTTGGGTCTTGAAGAAAATGCACTTACTACAGCTGGAAAAATGACCTCTTGATTTATATAAATGGTATAACAAAATAGGATTCCCCAACTTTGCCCTTCAACTTAAAATGTTTGTTGAAGCGTATTATATATTCATTTTAAGAGAGATAGAAAGCAAGAAATTGCCATTCCTCATTTACATAATATCATTTATCAAATGACACAGATAATACAACAATTTTCCATAAGCTGAAGTTAACTCCCAAACAGAAACTGCCTTCAAGAAATGATAAAATTTAGAAAATGATTTGTTTTGAGACTTCTCATCAGGACTGGAATATAAAGAAGTTAAAAACTTAAGTATTTTTGTCTTGTCACACACTGAGTTGGCTATGTAAGTTTTTATTTTAAGTGAGACTTAGAGCCTTGAAATTAAAATACAGAATTAAAATTTAGTTACTGATTATTTTCTTTTTTTTTTTTTTTAATTTTTTTTCTGAGAGAGAGAGGGAGAGAGAGACAGTGTGAGCAAGGGAGGGTCAGAGAGAGGGGGAGATACAGAATATGAAGCAGGCTCCAGGCTCTGAGCTGTCAGTCAGCACAAAGCCCAACGCAGGGCTCAAACTCACGAACCGTGAGATCATGACCTGAGCCAAAGTCAGACACTTAACCGACAGAGCCACCCAGGCGCCCCATAGTTACTGATTATTTTCAAAGAACTGATTTGTGGCATAGCCATGTGAGCTGTATATACAACTGCCATCAAACAACAACAAATTACTCTTTGCCACTTTGGCAACGGTATGAAAATCTCACAGCCCCGATGGAGACTTCAACAAAGCCCCATCTCCCATGGTTCCCAGGAGACAAGAGTCTCCCTGTTTCTGATCCCACTGTTGCTGAGGGTTTCTGTGGACAGGCATTGGGCCCAGCGTGCTGTAGCTGTCACTAAATGTTCAGCTACAGAGTACATCTTTCGATTAACATTTTAATAGGAGTGCTAAGTGCTAGCACTTGAAACTGAATGATGAAGGCACCAATTACTCCTGGAGACACTTTCCTTTCCAGGTACCTATTCAGCACGAGGTTCTCCAATCTCTCTGGCTACTGTCTGACAGTGTCCTTTGCTTGTGTCTCTTCCAGGCTTCTAAATGATGGTGTGTCCCGGACTCAGATCTCAGCATCCTCTGTCTACATTCTTGACCTTCACATAATATAAATGAACCCTTCAGCTTTCAAACCTCACATAAGCTCCAAATTCATATATTCAATCACCCGTGGACATTTAAACCCCTTACATTTCATTAGCCACTTCACACTTAACTGACCAAAAATGAAATCAATCCCTCCATATCTGAGGAAGAAACCAAAATCATCAGGTACATCCCATAGATTCCATATCCCAAGTATATCCCAAAGCCTATCATCTCATCATCTATGCCATACGACTTAGCCCAAGCCACCACGGTTTCTCATCTGGACAACAGCTATAGTCTCCTCACCGGTCTCTCTGACTCCATTCTTGCTCCTAACAATCCAATTTCCACTCAGCAGAGTGAGCTTTCTAGAACTGTAAATTAGATGATATCAAATCCTCCCTTAAAAATTCTCTTATTAGACTAGACCCTCTTTACCCTGCATTCTCCTCCATCTCACAACTGTGTAGCCCACTGGACTTCTCTCTATTCCTCAGCATATTCCATGGCCCAGAGCCTTTGCTCTTCACTTCCTTCCCCTTCGAACCATCTCACTGCAGATCTTCATTTGGCTCACCAGAGATCTTCATTTGACAGTCTCTTTATCACCGTTCAGATATCAACTCCAAGTTCTCCTCCTTTGAGGGCTTCCATGCTCCTACCTATAGCAGCCCCACCCCCACCCTGGCATCACATTATCCTAATTGGTTTGCTCCATGGCAATTAGTATGTAACCTGTTCTCAACCAATCACAGTGACCACCACAATTAAAGCATTTAAGTAGCTAAGGCAGAAACCATATAAATCCCAAGAGTTCACTGCATGTAGGCAAACCTGTAGCAATTTATGAAAGGAGTCTGGATGGGACACACACACACTTCATATACATTACAACCAAAAATAAAATAATCCAGCTTTGCCATGAAAGCCTCCACATAGAGCAGCTAATTGCATGAGAGCAATCTAACTAAATAACATATGAGGATCACATGCAAAAAATAACAGCAGATGGTTCTTAAATTTTTATAGTTAAAATTAAAAAAAGAAAAAAACAATCAAACCACCTCCTATCAAATTGTTGAGAGCAAAGTGTCTGTGAACCATATGGCCTGCCTATTAATTCATTTGACCCGTTAACCAACAACCATTCCCCAGCCTGGAAGGAATATTACTCTGGGAGACAGGAAAGCAAAAGACCCACTTAAACACTGAGAAGATGGGCACCAGGAGGGATGTTAGAGAAACTGAAATTAATTACCCAAGAAGTGATCATTAGAGAAGTAATCTCATAACAATCTCTAAGACCAACCAAGAGTTTGTGACCAAAGGTGCCTGATAATTTGAAGGATTTTTCTTTATTTCACGAAGAAAAAAAAAATGGGAAAAAAAATCTTAAATTTCCACAGCAAGATTTAAATTCACTCTGTGGATGTACCTTCAGACACTGAGGAATATTAGGAAGAGGAACGAATTCCGAATTCCCGAGAACAATCATTACAGTCTCTGTCCCAGATGTTCACGACTTCTTTCCTGAAAGTCCAGGAGCTGACAAGTTCTTTCAGCCACCTTCTCACTGCCGTCCACCCACACCATCACCAACCACTACAATCCAAACCCTTTTCTGGGGGCTCCTGGGTGGCTCAGTCGTTGAAGCGTCCGACTTCAGCTCAGGTCATGATCTCACAGTTTGTGGGTTCGAGCCCCGCGTCGGGCTCTGTGCTGACAGCTCAGAGCCTGGAGCCTGCTTCAGATTCTATGTCTCTCTCTCTCTCTGACCCTACCCTGCTCACGCTCGCTCGCTCTCTCTCTCTCAAATAAATTAAAACATTAAAAAAATTTAATTTTCATAGGAACTCCATGAGGTAGGTATTACCATCCCTGTGCCACAAACTGGAAAACTAAGGCCAAGTCACTTTATCAGCTCCATTACTTTGGGGAATACCTTTAAGTCCCTGATTGCAAATGTTCTTCCTTTGCACCATTCTGCTTTCCTAAGTAGCTTATGATTTACTGGAAAAGCAGGAGACCTACAAACAGCAGATGCTCAGGACAAATATGAAAGACAGCAGCAAAGTGATTCATACGGTAACAAAAGTCAGAGTCCCCTTGTATAGTCCATGGTAGTCAAGAAAGTGTTAACCATGATGATGGGACTGACATGAAACCACTAAGGAAAAAATGGCTTAAGATCAGGGAAGAGGGCAAGACTGGTAAGAAAAAACTGGTAGCCACGCACATGGCAAGCCTTCCTGGCAAGAAAAGGAATTAAGAACAGGCAAAGCCTTTCTGCCACGGGAGCCACTGAGGAGCATCAGCACGGCTCTACGCTACCCTATGGCTGTGGGCTCCAACAAGTGCCACAAAATGACTGAGAAGACAAACAAGCCAAGGCAAAGCCACCGCCCCAGGCGCCGCACCAAGCACACCAAACTCATGTGGCACATGATCCGAGAGGTGTGTGGCTTTGCCCCATATGAGCAGTGTGCCATGCAACTGCTCGAGGTCTCCAAGGACAAGTGCATGCTCAAGTTCATCAAGAAAAGGGTGTGGATACACATCCAGGCCAAGAGGAAGACAGAAGAGCTAACCAATTTCCTACAGACATGAGGAAAGTGGCAGCCGAGAAGGACTAACCCTCACCTCCTACCTTACCCCCACCCTTGTATGTAATAAGCCCTTTGGAACTTGGGGCTCTTGACCCTCTCCTACCAACATCCTTCCTGGGGCACAGTGGTGAGGGGCATGGTGGTGCACACAGAGACAGAACAACCAAACAGTACTGGAAATGGGTTTTAATCGGGGTGCCTCAGTGGCTCAGTTGGTTAAGCATCTGACTTCAGCTCAGGTCATAATCTCACAGTTTTTGGGATTGAGCCCCACATCGGGCTCTGTGTTGACAGTTCAGAGCCTGGAACCTGCTTCGGATTCTATGTCTCCCTCTCTCTCTCTGCCCTCCCCTGCTCATGCTCTTTCTCTGTCTCTAAAAAAAGGAATAAACATTAAAAAAAATTTTTAAAGAAATGGTTTACTACTAATAATTAAATACTCCATATATGCCAGGAAAACAAAAACAAAAGCAGGCAAAGGCCAATCAGAGCCTAGGAAAAGGCAGGTGTGAGACTTGCTATGAAAAGTTGAAGTTTTTAAGAAAAATTCTAGAATTTTTCAGAGCCTAAAGGTTCTTCAAGGTCAGCCCAACACAACACTGAGTTTTACAAATAAACAAACTCCAGGTCAGGACACAGTAGATGACTTGCAGAAAGTCACCCAGCCAATTAGGTTAGGTAGCAGATCTGTGCCCAGAATCTGGACCTCCTGGCTATCTAGTGCTCTAAAAGTTCTGGCTTTAGAATCAATTGCTATCTCTGAAAAACAAAACAACAAGCATGAGCCTCTGGTGCTTTGTTTTTCCTGCTTTCCTCCCAATCAATTCTAAGTTATTTCCAAATACACAGTTGCTGAGTTCCTTGAACGGAGAGCCATTGCTGTTAAGAACTGGAGCAGTACAGCATGGGACCCATGGCCTCTCGGAGTTAATACGACCTTACAGTCAGCCCATCCAGCCTCCTCTCAACGTGCAACTTCAGTCTGTCTCCACAAGCCTTCACGGGCAACGATGAACTGCTCGAAATACAACTGGCTCCAACTGTTTGAATGTTGTGTCCTTATACTGATTTAAATCTGCCACCCTGAAGCCTTAGACCTGGCATCGTCCTCTAGAACATGACAGACCAAGGCCAGAGAGACCTGCCTACATCAACATCACAGCTTTTTTTCATTTTGGGAGCTGTGTTCATTGCCTAACTCTCTTTTCTCTCAACCCAGAAAAAGGAGAAAGATGGAGGTGCCTCCTTCGTAAAAGCTGTGTGGATTTGTCCCAACTTTAAGGACTCCAAAGGTATCCAAGGTTAAGGCATCACTAAAACATTGTATTAGTTTGCACAAGAAGGATTTAAATAAAATAAACTCCTCGACTATGAATGGCTTTGGCAACAACCTGAAAGAAAGTTTCCAAAACATTACCTAAACAGCAGGAAGTCCTTGGGTTAATGTTGATACTCATTTTTTTATCAACACAAATATCCTGCCAAAACATGTTTTGTTTTGCATAGTTTACTGAAATATAATTCACATACCATAAAATTCACCCCTTTAATTAAAGGGCACATCCTTGGAATATTCACAAGATTGGACAACCATCACTACCTTCTAATTGCAGAACATTTTATCACGACAAAAGGAAACTGTACCCATGAGCAATCACTCCCGATCCTCCTGATCTACTTTCTGTCTTTACAGCTTTGCCTGTTTTAGACATTTCATATACAGAGAACCATAAATACGTAGCTTTTGTGATTAACATTTTCTTTCACCTAGTTTTTAAGGTTCAGCTATATTGTAGCACAAATCAGTACTTTATTCCCTTTCATGACCGGATAATATTCCATTGCATGGATTTACCATATTTTATGTATCCATTCATCAGCAGGACACACATTTGGTTGTTTCTACTTTTGGGCTATCATGAATACTATCAACATCCACATATGACTTTGTATGTGGACATATGTTTTCATTTCTCTTTCACTTCACAGACCCAGGAGTGCAATTTCTGGGTCAGACAGTAACTTTAGGTGAGTTCGCTTTTTGAGGGATGAACAAATTATTTCCATAGCAGCTGCACCATTTTACATTCCCACCAACAGTGGATGAGGGTTCCACTTTCTCCACATCCTTGCCAACACTTATTACTGTCTGTCTTCTTTATTATAACAGCCTAGTGAGTATGCAGTAATGTTTCTTTGCAATGTTGATTTTTATCTCAGGAGAAGTTTTCTTAATTGACACTTAACTTATCAAAAAATTTAGTTCAACATATAGTATGGATACGGAGATGTTTCCAGGCATTGTAACACACTGTTGTGCACTGAACATTTACAAGGTGGTCCTGAGTGGGGGTATATCTCATAGGGAAACAAAAATTATACATATCTATATGCTTTAAGAAAAAGAACAGTTTACTAGGATTAAAGGACATTTAAGGGTATTTATGATAGGGTTTCTGTGCTCCTCACTCCAGTAGCTAATACAAGTGTTGTCCAAGGAAAGCATTTTACCAATATATGGGGTAAATGAATTCACATAAACATAGGTATAACCCCCATGTCTCTGAGGCTCAGTTTCCTCAGCAGTAAAATGGAGCCAACAAGATCCACAATTCAGGACTGTGAAAATTAGATATGTTCAGGTGAATAAAGGACCTACTGTATGCCTGATGTTCTAGAAGGTGCTCAAGTCATGGTCAGTCCTATTTTGTAATAAAAAATGTTGACCAATTTATACTAGACACTTGTATTACACCAGATTTAGCAAGCAGTGACGCTTTAAAGGAAAGGATACTGATATGCAACAATCACTCACAATGTACCAGCTCAGAGGCTTGCCATCCTGATGCCCCTACAACACCGTAATGCCAAGTCACACCTCAGGCAACTCCAGGCCCCAGGTCTGCCACTCCTAAGCTCAGCTCCATGAGGCCTTTCATTTCTAAGGGTCCTAGCAAAATTAACTCTGTCCCAAGGTTATCTTCTGTACTCTAAAAATAAATAAAGTTTTAATGTTCAGCTGGAAAGCCTATTTATTTAGGAAAGGAGCCGTGTCTTGTGCAGGTACTCACAGACCCATCAGCTCTGCTATTACAGCTCTGGAGCTCCCCAGAAGCTTCTGTGATAACACCAACTGTCACCATGAAGCAGACGCTTCCAGGATCCTGACCACATCCTCTCAATCTTCACCATTTCCACGTGGCCTGGCCTGACCTCCAGCACCGCACGCATCTGTGTCTCTGGCTGCCTCAGCCCTCTCTGTCACTGGATGCAGACCAGAAGGACCATCCCAGCACCAACCCAGCAGGCCTCACCCAATGACTGACAGGAGGCAGGGTAAATACTTTAGCTCCGCTGCCCAGGGGTGGAAGTGGAGGAGGAGACTTGGAGGCACGCATTCCAAACTGGCTCTCAGAGCTCCCTGTTGCAATGAAACCCCACTGCCCGCAGTGGTAACTTGATTTTGACACACCCTATATTGGTTTCTTACACTTCTCTGTCTCATTTCTCCATTCTTCTTCAGGGTTTCTTGGATTCACCTCCCAAAGAAACCTGCACTTGAATCCCTTTCGTAGTGCCCAAAGAAAGATATAATCCTAGACACTTTGCTCTTTCATTCATTAGGTCCTCAGAGATCCTGAATTTGTTGCATCGCTGCCAAATACAGAGCCATCACATTGGGTCGGTATCCAAACAAGCGGGTGAATGGAAATTGAAATCCTTGTTAAAATTCCACAAGCTGCGGGCTTAGGACCATGTTCCAGAGGTGGGGGAAGGGGGGGAACAGAGGGCCTTTCTCTTCATAAAAGGGTGCTGGCCACCTGCCAGGTCATGGGCCCATGGAGCCACGTCTGCCCAGAGGATAACCAATTTCTAGTTCGCACACAGGAGCACTACATACTCAGGAAGGCCCTGGCCTAGGTGTGTGCCCAGTGAAAGTCTGCTGCTGCTGCTGCTCACCAATGCCTGCCAGATGAGCACCAAGGAGGTGCCCGGACACCAGGAACCAGTGCTGGGGGGTGGGAGGGTGGAGGGGATCCACACTCACTGCACTGCTCCAGTGTGTCAGACACCTTCGTTGTTGCTGACCAATCTCATCTCCCACCTCCAAGATTTCAGCAGTCATGGAGTTGCCTGGCCTCTTCCTGTACTCCTTTACTCCTCTTTACCCCACCACCCATGTTCCCTTTTATCTGGAGCTGGGCTGCAAATTCCCAAAGCGGAAAAAATCTCCACTGTGCATCTTGGGGCAAACCATCCCATACCTGGCAGTGACTATCCACTTTTCCCAACACTGCGATATCCTGTCCAGGGTCCACGAATCTGTTAATGGACAGATGTAGCCTCACAATGAAGACCTCCATGTTCTCCTCCCGACTCTGACGCCTGCCCCCATCTATGCCAGGAGGACTCTATGACTGCAGCAAGCGTCAGCCCCAGACACTCCCATCCCCCTCCCCACACTGGCTCTGTGCCCCAAGGAAGGCAGTTAGTACCAGTTCTGGCCAAAGCCAAGGCTGCTCCCAGGAGAGGCCGTAATGAAACCGACAGAGCAACGATTGGCTTCTATTGAGTTGCCAAGGTGATGCCAACCACATCTCAAGAATGAACAAAGGCAACACACAAGAATGAATCTTGTAAACCTTCTTCCTGCAGGAAACCAGGCTAAAATTCTTTGTTTTCTGCCAAAAGCCCCACTGCACGGACACACAAACACTGTCGGGATCGCAGACAGCTATGGAAAACACACTCTGGGAAAGTGAACTGCCCAAGTGATAATGAAGAAATTCAGAATTATTGCCTGGCTAACAGGTAAAATGAAGACAGAAGTGTTACTTCTGCTAAAGAAATTAATGGAATCTGTATTGCAAAAATAAGATTCTTATTTATTTGTGATTTTCATTTCATCTCAAAATCTAATGACCTTCCCCCTACCCCCAGTCTTCTGCATTTAATTGTTCTGTATCCTCATCTGCCAAGACACAGGGATTACTAGATTGA